TTGCCATTTCTACGGTCAGTTACCCTGGCAACCATCATACAGTCCCATTGTTGCTATCATTTACAATGGTAACCATCATACAGTCGCATTGCAACAGTCTGTTACCATGGCAACCAGCATACATTCCCATTGCTACAGTCAGTTACCATGGCAATCATCATAAAGTCCTGTTGCTATGGTCAGTTAACAAGGCCAATCATCATACATTCCCATTGCTACAGTCAGTTACCATGGCAACCACCATACATTCCCACTGTTACGGTCAGTTACCATGGCAACCATCATACAGTCCCATTGCTATGGTTGGTTACCATGGGAACCATCACACATCCCCATTGTTGTGGTCAGTTACCATGGCAACCATAATACGGTCAATCAGTTACCATGGTAACCATCATACATTCCCGTTCCTACAGTCAGTTACCATGGCAACCATCATACCTCCAGTTGCTAGACAGTTACCATGGCAAACATAGAACATTTCCATTGCTTTGCTCCTTTCCCATGGCAACCATCACACATTCCAGTTGCTAGGGTCACTTACCACGGCAACCATCATACATTCTTATTGCTATGGTTGGTTACCATGGCGACCAGTATACATTTCCATTGCTACGGTCAGTTACCACAGGAACCATAATACTTCCCACTGGTACAGTCGGTTTCCATGGCAACCATCATACATTCCCATTGCTACACTCAGTTACCATGGCAATCATCATACAGTCTTATTGCTATGGTCAGTTACCATGGCAAGCATCACACATTTCCCACTGCAAAGGTGGGAAACCATCATACAGTCCCATTGCTATGGTCAGTTACTATGGGAACCAACATACAGTCTTGTTGCTATGGTCAGTTTGTATGGCAACCATCAAACAGTCTCGTTGCTATGGTCAGTTACTCTGGCAACCATCATAGATTCCTGTTGCTATGATCGGTTACCATGGCAAGCATCATACAGTCCCATTGCTATGGTCAGTTACCATGGCAACGAGCATACATTTTTTGTTCTACAGTCAGTTACCATGGCAACCATCACACATTTCAGTTTCTACAGTCAGTTAGCATGGCAACTGTGGTGGTTTAGATCTTGGTTTTTCCCCCAGAGGCTGAAAAGTGGTAGACCCCAAGGGGTGGTAACCCCTGGAAGTTTTGAAGTTTTGCCCAATGGGCGCTCCTGCAAAAATGTAAACATATCACAAGCTCACCGGAAGAGATGAGTTGTAGTTTAGTTGCTGTGGGAGTGGTGGCCATGTTGTAGAGCCACGAGGAAGGGGCTCGGAGCCCCTTGGGGCCTCTGGGGCCCCCCAGCCCCAGTTGGGGGCTACAGAGACTTGGAACAGTGCTAGACTGGACAAAATGTCTGTAGTTATGCCGGGAGATGTTTTCTCCATGGGCACAGAGCAGCAGCCGGCACTGACCAGAGAAACGGTGGCACAGCGCCAGGACAGATAAGACCTGAACCGGAGAAGCAACAGAGACATGCAGCATCGCAGAAAGGACTCCTGGAAAGGGAGAGAGAGAGAGCCGGCAGCAGAGCTACAGAGTTTGGGGTAAGACTGAATACCAGACCCCAAAACTCCCTTGAGACCCCTCTTTAAAAAGAGGGAGATGGACTCCTATTTTGGAGAGTAGTTTTGGACATGCAGCACCAGAGACAGAGGAGCTAAGAAGCTCAAAGACGTCCTGGAGCTGGACCGGGACAGCCAGATGGAATGCGGGGGGAGTTGACCTTGGCTCCCCCCTCGCACTGCTGCCACGGTGGCAGCCTGAGAACAGGGCACAGAGGCCCTGCAGGAGCTTGAGTCTCCTGGAGATACCAGACCGTCATGAAGACCCCCTGCGTCTCGTGATATGACCGTGGTGAAACGACCTTGTCTGGGGTGACGAAGCCCACGGAAGACCCCTTTGCCTGCGTCAAGGGGGCCGAGAGAGAGACTTGGATACCTCCCTCGTGAGTGCTGGCAGAAAGCCAGCCACAGCTGCTGCAATGCATGAGAAGAAGAAAGCTGCTGCCTTGGAAGATACTCCTGCTGTTCAGAGACTGGAAGGGATCTGTCCTTCTTTCCCTCCTGGACTTTTATTTGGAGGGGAGAAGAGATCTGGTCCATTGTAAATACATATGTCATG